CTTAATGATTGTCCATAAGCAATTTGAAGCTTTTCCATTCAGCGGAAAGCCACCAAAAAGCACATTCTTCCACGAGGCATGTACTCAGCTTTCGCTACAGATTACAACAGAGGGGAGTGATGAATTAGTTAATAATACACAAAAATCTACCCTCAGGTACGTTCTTAAATTATCTAACAAAACCGTGCCGTATTAAGTGCGAGGGTAGTCTCTGCAGGTATTTAGGAATTTACGAAATGACGAAGTCAGTGAAAAACGAATGACCGCTCTTGGATGGAATACGACTAGACCTGGTGACGACAGCCCAGTTTTACATTTTACATAGTGATATATGTAAGGGCGAAGCACTTAAAATTGGTGCTTGATAGAAGCAAAAATTAAAATTATTGTGCAGGATGATGCGTAGGTAATCTAGTCAGATTAAGCAGTGTTTAGCTCACTCAACCCATTCAGGATAAATAGAGGAGCTTGAACGGAGGCACGAAATATGTAACAGCGTCATCGTACTTAAGTTGCAAATGTGCCTACCTGCTGTACGTCTACGGCGAAAAAATGTGCTGGATAATTCCTTTCACTTATCCCGTCATGTGATGAAAGTGCCTGATAAGTTTTACCAAAGTGTTTAAACAAATAATTATAGCGCTTGATGGTAGGTATCTATCACTGGCTTATGCATTTATCTTCATAGGCATAAATACATTGGACGTACCTGGCATTTGATCTCATACACTCCCTGCCAGTGCTGGTCCGAGACAGGCATGTCGTCAGATTTACGATGAGCCATGAAAGTAAACGCCTAGCCTAGTCGCCCGCATTTTACATGCTCTCCTCTCTCAGAAAGACCAATGAAGCGGTTCAGGATTAGTTACTACATCTTGAAGCAGAATGCAAACGATACCTATTTCCACTTTGAACTCTTTATCAACTGAATAAGTCTCCATATTACACCTACCTTCAGTGGCTGTAAAGCTTTCATTTATTTTATGCGTTTGTCCCTCGTTCGTTATAACACCATGTTTAACATTTTGTCGCTTAACAAATAGCTGTTTGTGTACCAGCCGTACAGAACCGAGCTCCTGACCGTATCTTGTCGTTCACGAGTATTATCAAAAAAGCTGTAGGAGGCGCTCAGTACTCACTGAATTAAATATTTCAAACTTTCCTTTGTTGTATTTCCTCGCTTATTCGCTTACCTGTAAGCAAAGAATTTTTCAACCTGAAAAGCAGATAATGACTTGGTTTGAAACGACGACGAAGATGCCCCTCAGCAACATAGGCGCTACCCTTTGTGAACGGAGGAGGGAGACAGTGCGATACCATCAAAGCACTTTGAAAAAAGCTCCACGGAAACCACAACTTCGTGGGACCTTATTGTCAGAAATTGGAATATATTCTCACTCAGAGGGAAAGAGCAGGAGATACGCAGCAAGGTACCAACTCAACGTAATTGGACTCTCACCAGCGAAGCGCCAAGGCTCTGAAATTCTGAACTTCTGCAGGTGGAAGCTCTTCTACTTTGGGGTCGCTAACACGACGGGCGTTCTGACAGAAC